CACCCACGAGGTTCTTCCTTATTATCTATTAGAATGTATATGGGGTATTTATATTTCTTGTGCGGCATATTAGTCATTTGTCGAAATATCAATTCTCCTATATAAACAAGGGAGAGTAGAGCGTAGAGGAACTCTCAAATAGAATTTTAACATGGTATTAGAGCAGTGATCAAATCCCTAGATCGAGGGTTGTCGTCGTTGCGCCTAAGTCTTCCTCGTCACTGTGTGTGCAGTGGTCATCGTCACTGTGTATTGGCAGTCACTGATCTTCGTCTTGATGCCGATAGTGTTGTTTGTTATCAAGTCTCAGACTGTGTTGGTCGTTTCTGATTGCCGTCAAGTTATCGACTATGTTGTGGCTTGGATTTTGGATTTTCTATTGTCGTCATGCCTATGTGTTGGCTTCGTCATCACTAAGAGAGTGAGTTGCTTTCAGATCGTCATCTTCTGTACCCAAACGACCAGTGTTGGTCGCATTTGTCATCATTAGGGTTCGTCGTTGACCATTGTTCTTCGTTGTCGTCAGAGCCGTTGGAATCGTCACAGTGGCTAAGTCTCGCTCCATCATTGTTGCACACAAGACGCAGTTGTCATTTCTCTTCAAGCCCTAAATATCAAACAGGACTTTGAAGAAGACAAGGGCTGTTTGGTTGTGAAGGTTAGTTGTTCCAAGTCAGTTCGACCTGGTATCTAACCCGAACCTTCTGAAGTAACCTGATTTGACCCGATTGGGACGACCCAGTTGTTTTGGCTCGATTGAACCCATCCAGAGCATTGTTGACCCAGTTTGAATAACTTTTTCAGATCACGTCAATTACAGATCAGTGCTGTTCAGTTTGGTTTTTTGTTTCTTTCATCTCTTCTCAGTCAGTCCAACCAGCTGGGTTCAGACCAGTCAGCTTACGATCAACCAGGATCCGGCAAGACAGTTTTGTATCTACTAGCAGTCAACTTCTGGTAACTCAGTTTTGGGCGAACTAGCTTCCATCCAATTTCTTCTGTCTACTGTTTGATACTCTTCTCTTCATCTTGTATGGCTGCAACTGATGTGTAAAAGTACAAGGCAATTCATGTTCAGATGAGGAGAGGACAAGATCAAAGTAGAAAACCATGGAATGGGGAGATTGTTAGGATTAGAACTTATTGTTGGCAAATTTCGTAACAAAAGCCGGAGTTTGTATTTTTATTTTTAGATTTTGATTAGAATTTAAATGGTAAAATCACATATTCAATAGCTGATTCACTATTTAATGTTTCATGATCATGCATTCTCATTTTAAGCACAATGCACACATTTTGATTCATGAAAAAGACATTTTGACTGCATGAAATTATTTCTGGAATACATATATCTAAACAGGAACTTTTCACAAAAACAGTATGCCTTGACCGATACATCCGTTGATTAAAATTTTCCATGAAAATTATATCAAAGATGAGAATGGTTCAATCAAATGCTCAATCGATCAAACCAGTGCTAGTGTAGCTCGATAAATAGGTTGTTCGATTAAACTGTGTGGGAACAGTTTGTAAAAACTTCTCTAAGACATAACACAAGGTTTAGGTTCCTTTTTCTTATTACAACTAAGTAATCCTGATTCTTTTGGACTCAAAGCACTATATAAAGACTTCTAGGCTCTCATAAACACATAAAAAGATATGCTGAGAATCTCTACACTCATTATTGAGAGGTCATAAATTTTAGAGAGCATATTTTTGTTCTTGTCATGTACATCTTACATTAGATGGTGAGTTATTATCCAGAGTGTTGATCATCATATTGTGGAGTTTACATCGTTATCAAAACCAAAGTGTTTTTGATGACTAGTGGCTGAGATCGAATGACTAGAGAAGCAGGTTTATGAAGAGTTAACGCTGTTGACGAGCGCAAGAGAACTTATCACAAAATTTTAAATACTTAAAACATACTTTCTCTTATTTTGTCAGTAGTATGTGTAACTCATAATTTCTCCCTAATATATTAATTATTCATCTATCTTTTCCAGTTTCTCCTATAATCCATCTAAACATCCTTTCCAAATACATAGGCCTTATAACTGTAACTACAGAATTCTCTTTTTAACTTATTTGATATTCCCTCATCAAATTCGTCGGTCCTTTTCAAAAATCCCCCATCAATTTGCAAACATTAAGAATCAATCTACAATGATCTTAGTAAATGGACAGTGGCATAAGACAATTGCCGTGAATTGTTTTTGAGCCTCTGCCGACTCTCAGTAAGGCTGTTGACCAAGAAAGGAATTTATGTCGATGCAAGAAAAGGGATGGAAGCAAGTAGGCTCACTTCTAGTTCGGTTGGTACGGACCCACTCTCCGTTGGTTCACCAAGCCCATATGTTATTGAATATTAATCATCTGACTCGATAGCTTGAGCTTGTGCAATAAATACCTTCTGTGTCTCATCGGTCTTCTCTTAAAGTAAAGTGGGTGTGCAAAGTCGCTTCCACGGAGAAAGTCTGGAATGGAGATTAGAAGATTGACTTCCATGCGAACATCGTTCTTCATGGGCTCAAAGAAGGAAGACTAAGATCAAGAAAAAACAAAAGAATCAGTTATAGTTGTAGAGTTAGCCTTGAATTAATGATACCAACAGAAAGAGATTTAGCAGGAGTTTTTTACTCAGCTAGAAGCCCCATTGTTAATGGTTCCTTAAACCTGAGAGAATGGTGGCTTTTTTATAATTGAGTTACCACAAAGGGGATCAGGGATCATCACATAAGCAATTCTTGATTAGGCGCTTTCTTGTTTCTGATGATGGGGCAAAGCCAACTATGTCTGATAAGGGGATGAATGTTACGCAGAAGGTGGTCGGAGAAAGGCTTAACCAAAATATTGATTGGAATTTAGTTCAAAATGATTGGAATTTAGTTAAGATGGTGATATTTTGGAATTTAACCAAAATAGACAGAGAAAATGATTGGAATTTAGTTAAATGTAAGATCAATAATAGAAAAAGACAGGGACATTGATGATGGTGTAATAAATTATAAGTACTGTGGGCCGATGTTGGGCAAAGTGAAAACAAGCGGATAGAACCCTGTCCTGCGATGTCTCTGTCAATACAGCCTATTCTGCATCCTTCTTGATCACACTGCCGAACCCAATCCGTAAACAGCACCAGATTGACCTGATATAATATCACCAGCACTTCTTCTGGTCAATAATACCATCAGAATAACTACAAATGCATACACATCAGCCTTGAATGATGGAACTGGTTTTGCTGCAGTAGCAAATTCTGGAGCACGGTATCCAAGGAACAGTAATCGACGTCCAGGTCTCAGAGTGTTACAAAGTAGGAAGCAACCTGCTTTAAAGACCTAAGGGATCTATATTTCTCCAGGTTTTCATTTTTATTGTTAGGGCTTCCTTATCTAACAATAATATATCATCGGCAAACATATACTACGGAATGATTTCTTGAATATCTTCATTTTATCATCCAAAAGTATCATGAAAAAATATGGGATAATCCTTGGTGTAATCCTACTTTTATAGAAAAACCCACTAATATCTCCCCATATCATGAATTCCAGACTTTGTATTCTTGTGACAGCCTAAATAAATTTAAGAATTCCTTTCTTTGTAACGCCAACCAATTTATATCTATTGGAACCCAATTGTATATCTGATTTAACTCTATAAAATTATGTGAATCTTTGATTTTACTTTTTAAAAAGTAAATGGCTACCATAATAGATTTGTTTTGCATGAATCCAAATTGGTTATAAGATTTTGTCGATCCTTTTCTTAATAGTTGTCCTCTTATCCTTTCCTTTTATATCACTTTTGTTTTCATGAATTCGCACTATTGTGTTTTTTTGCAATTAATTTTGTTTTGTGTCTATTAATTTTTGTTGAATAAGTTTGATAGCTATTCAATTCTTACATTTTCTAAAAATTTCCAAGTCTCCATAGATTATCATGTGACATGTTTCTAATGGTCTGTAACTTTTTAAAATTTTCTTCCACATCTTTAGGGTACATTTAACTTATCATTCCTATATTAGGTTCATTCCTAAAGTGATTTTTTTCATCAATATAAAAAATCTCTCTTTAACTAACATTGATTTGTCCACGCCTTTAATGCATCTAACTTGATCCATATCTCTCTAGTGCATTGATTTTTTTTTTTATTTCCTTTTTGTTTTTTATCTCTATGTTTTCTAATTTATAAATTTTTTCACCCCTGTTTTAAATGTACCCCTTTTTTCTTTATATATAAATCAACTAATGCAACTTGTTTTACTTTTTTACAATTCTTCTTGATATCATTTTTAATTTCTTGTAACTTATTAAATCCTCTTATTTTTTACTCATTTGTCATTCTTTGAACCTCTCTCTATTATCTTGCGTTACTTGTATTTCATTAATTCACCATTATGTTTCTTTCTTAATAAATTTCTTCCCTTTGGTCTCTCCCAAAGTTTCCTCGGCTATATTTCTTATTCAGCCTGTTATTTCTTTTCTTTTATTATTATTATTATTATTTTGGTTAAAAGCTGAAGTATTATTCAGCCTGATATTGTTTACTATAAATTGCTAATATTGTCATTCCAGTTCCATTGATTTTTTTTAACAATCTCTCTAACTGTCATCTCTTTGTCGCCCTTCGGTTCTCTCCCAAAGTTCCATCGATAGATCTTAAACTGCATAATCCAGATGAGGCCAATCATTAAAAAAGTACATAACTTGTTACAGAGATCTATGATTATATGACACCTGGCCATATGATTGAAAGTTTTTGAAAGGAGCAAGTTACAATCATTGACTTCTTAACTGATTTTTTTAAAGCAACCATGCAACAGAAATTTTAATGATTTCAAGAACCAGGCAAGTACCTGGACCTGTGACAGACAGAAAATTCTCCTTGAGAGAACACCCAGAAGGATAACGAATTTGCATATGTGGTCACTAATACTGATAGGAACAACACATTCATTCAGAAAAACATATAGAACTCTTCTCCAAGAACTTACTTGTTGATTAAATCATGTGCTTCATAGCTCATTTCCTCTGGTACCTTAGGCCAGGGAATGTCTCTGTTCATAATATTATCAAAAATTTGCTGCAACAAAGTAGGACCCATTAATACTTCCCCTAGATAATGACACGCAAAATAGAATAACTACTTTTCCTGATATTAGGATCAACAAATTCCATTTAGATGTCATGAAATAATAGTATCCAATATCACAAAAGTTTTGCAATTTTTTCCCTCCAAGAGGTTGAAGTAAAGATCAAGCACAAATAAGAGCAAAGCAGAAACTTCATGTTGCAGAGACTTCAAAAGAAAAAGAAAGTGATGCTGTTGTGGTTATACATTTAGCTTCCAGCAGTCTAGCCCACATGTCATTCGATGGACCCGCAATTAGTAGTGCTGCAAGCTAAAACTGGAGTATGAAAAAACTAAATCTGTTATAAAAAAAAATGTCAGGTCATACTCGGAAGTCTGAACAATTGCATGTATTCCTACAGCCTGAGTGGATTGCTATATTTGATCTCTTGCTTATTTTCTAATGTAAAAGATGGCTTAAAATGGATGTTCCCTAGGGAATATAAACCGCTGTAGGATTTAACAGTATCAAAAGTAGATTGAAGTAACAGTATGTATGTGCAGGGACATTAATGTTATTCAGTATGCAAACATATTTCCTCAGAAATCGGGTTCTCTAGATTTCATCAAAACCTATGAGCTTATAAATATTTCTTTATATAATTTTTCCACAGAAATGGACTCAACAACAGATGTCAAGCTTACACCCTCCTCTACTTACAGTCCCCTCTCACACATCGAGAGGCAAGCAAAGAGACTAAACAGAATGCAAACAGAACAAAATGAGAGAACATATGCAAACATGGAGACTTGAACAACTATATCTTAGATCCAGGACTCGTGTAGGGTTAAAATATTACTTGCCCCAAAAAAATTTACTGTTAAAAAGAATGGAGCCAACAAAGGGCAAAGGTAAGCCCAGTGCATGAGGCTCCCGCCGTTGCAGGGTCTGGGGAGCCAACAATGTACGTCAATCCCTTGCATTAAAGGACAAGTAATCAGAGTAAAAGGATAATCATGAGATTAAAAAAAAAAAACACTGACAATTTTATAGTTAGTTCTTCAAGCAACTGATCAAGGACAACCACTGACACGAGATGACTCAGCTGATTTTCATTATACTCTATCAAGTAATAACAGATGGTATGTATCGAATTGTCAGGTGTGAGAGGTTGGCAACAAATAAATATGCGCTGTTGTGTCAAATGGTTATTTTGAAGTTGTAATTTCCATCAACTAACTTTTAGAGTAAAATAAATCAATAGAATTAAATTTAATGAATCAATAATGACAATGAATTAATAATGACAACATAAGCAAAAAATATACTTCCATGTTGCTGCATGATGTCCACAATAATTGCGCAGGCTTTAACAAATAATTTTGACGCATAAAGCAAATTTTAGTAAAGAAATTAGTTACATTTTCTAGAAGAATATTCCACGTGCATATGAAAGTAAAAAATCATACTTTGTCCAGAATCAAATCCAGATGGCCTACCTGTGGATGTTCTGCATTAAAAGGTGGAATACCCACAAGGAGCTCATATAGTATAACACCCGTAGACCACCAATCTGCTGTTGCACCTGCAAGAAGAACATTTTGGGAAAGAAGTAAAATCCCGAAAAAAGTAAAAGAAAAAAAAAAGGGTAGTCACAAGTTCATAAAATATGTGCTATCCAAGAAGGAAGTAATTTCGAACCATGACCCATGCCAAGAAGTATCTCAGGAGCCAAATAGTCAGGAGTGCCAACAACTGAATGCTTCTGGCGCTGTTCTCTTTTCAGTGATGATTGAGCTGCAGTTTTTCGTTCATCCCCAAAAGAAGCAGAACTGCTGAATGCTGGACCTGATAAATCATCTGTGCTGTTGATCAGACCAACCTTGGAAAGCCCAAAATCTGTCAACTGTAACAGAAGGAATTAGATTTGTGAGAGGTTATAAGCAATATCATCAAGGAAGCACTTGGAAGTACAAAGAGCTAAACAAAGAGTGGAAGATGGGACAGTAACAGACAGCAACAAGAAATTTCAATAAAACAATGTAGCACAGAAGTTGAACTCATATGCACCATGATTTGCAGAGTCGAGACCCCAAATCTTAGGAAATATAGAGTCATTTGTGACAGACTAAGCCCAACATGCTTCACTTTAGCCAAGCAAGTATGATCCAGTACTCTGTCAAGACTGAAAAGTTAAATGATCACCCACTTGAATTCCCAAGAATTCCAGTAGAAAAAATTGAACATCAAGGACGTTTCCAAGTCATTTCAGAAGTTTCTTGATGTTATTACTTTGCATACTACAGTTCTCCTGAGTCCCAGAGGAAGGTCAAACTTGTTCTTGAGGTGCATAAGACATAAAATTGAACTTGCATCATCATATCAAGACTTACCGCACCTCTTAAACTGTGAATGAAGACTTACTGCACCTCTTAAAGTGTAAATGAACAAGTATTAGAGGACATTTGTAAGCATAAAATATCGCACATCGCGATCCACTACTTCCAAATTCACACAATTTCATCAAACTAATTATACCAGTGGGCCATGGGGAACCCCAAGAAAGAAATAGGAGGCTCCACCTACAAATTCATATTGAAGGTCAAGCCTGCATAACCTCTTCCAAGTAGCCAGCATCACAAAATCACAAAGCACACAAGACAAATCCTTTCAAGTCCCTAAAGAGAGGAAAAGGCAGTTAATTCTTGTTTCTAATAACAATGATATCCCTTTAAGGTTCTTTCATTATTGATTTCCTTTTTACTTAACAATAATTTAGAAAGCTCAAAGTGTAAAAGATGGTCTCCCCCGCATCACATATGTCGAGTCCTGAGGAACTAAATACACTGAACAGACTAGAAATTCTTTTTTCTTTTTTCTTTTCTTCCAAATAAGTAATCAATCATAACATCAAAATTTTCCATGCTCTAGTAAACGAGTAATTGAATTTCACAAGGGAGGTGAACAAAAGGCATAATTTCCACAAATAATGACAGCTTATTAACAACAATTCTTCAATTGAACTTTCTAACAACAAACTTCCTAAAGGTACTCTGTTCAGCTGCACAGATCTTTAGTCTAAAGCACTGCTACAAATTCTTATTTTGTTGTATATGTACCTATAATATATTGCCAAAATCATCTTTCATCTATATAGACATTATTGAATTATGGAAACAATAAAGAAGTAGAACTACCAAATATTGACCTTGATGTGACCATCTGGGCCTAACAACAAGTTGTCGGGCTTCAAATCTCTATGAATGATACTTAGGGAATGCAAATATTCCAATGCAAGGACCTGAAAATAATATATTGAAACCATTATGAAAGGTATAGTAGCAGAAACAAAGCAGTAGCCATTTCAAGGTAAAAGAGGGGCTATCAACATTTTCTTACAAGTTCTGCAATATATACACGTGCCATGTCTTCCTCTAAGCAGCCTAGATTTCTCAGCAAAGAGTAAAGGTCTCCTCCATTTAAGTACTCCATGACTAAATAAAGATTTTCCCTACATGTGAAGGAGTAGAAAAACCGGACCTGTTCATCATGAGTATGAACACATTATAAAAGTAATTCTAAAGTTCTAAACACAATGTTTCCTTCGTGAGTTTAAATTTCCAAACATGCTCACCACAAAAGGATTCCGAACTGATATTAAGATATCACGCTCAGCCAAAATACTTTCGACTGAATTTTTACGGATCATATCAGCCTTTTTTAAAACCTGTATAAATTTCAAAACATGAGTCCTTTCTGGGCAAAGATTTTAATCAAACCATCCACAAACAATTGACACTTCTATACTATAAACATATTAATATATGATGCATGTAATAGTTAATAGCAACAGATGAGAAATGATTCAAACTGTCCTTTTCAATACTCAGCTCAACCATCCAAAAGTTGTAAGGAAGTAACTACCACAAACCCCAGGAGGTTAGTAAAATGAAGAGTTCTTATTTATATGATTGGGAAATGTTCGAGGAAGAGAAGTGGAAATGCAATCAAATATGACTTCAAATCTAAAGCAGAGAGGAAGTCCAAGGAGCATGAACAAAATTCAAAAAATAACCTTCATCTGTCTAAATTAGTAATGCTTTTTTATTCATACAATATTAGTTGAACAATAGCATTAATTTTGTTGTGATTGTAGGGTAAAAAACAATTGACCATAGTAAAATTTCTAGAAGTTTTGATAAAATATGAATACCTAAAAGAACCTGGAACACAATGATCAAATCACAGGTTAAACTAGAAAGTTAATCATCTTAATCCATACACTGGCTTTCTTCTCGGCTGACTTTACTCATGGAAATTGCAAAAAAAATCGCAAATTAATAAAGTGGAGAAAGAGCATACATTGCAGTTGTCTATTTAAAGGAGAAATGAAGATCGTCAACCATACAAATCAAATATCTTATTTTCCAAGTTACATTGGACTTTTCACACTCTGCAACTTCCAAACTAGGAGGCCCAACTGAGATAATCAGAACTTCTTCCCTTTTCTTTTTCAAAATTCTCACTACTCTCATGTCTTATTCCATATCAGTGTTTTCCTTCTAGACTGTTTGGCTAGAAAGAAAAATAATGCTAGAAAGCAGTAGAAAATGCAGTGAATGAAAGCAAAATAAGTTTTTATGCATGTATTACATTAGGGAAAAAATTTTATCAAGAAACTTGTAGGAAAATTCCAGCTTATGGTATTTTATTGTTTAAAGAAAAAAGTCCAAGATAATTATTTTAACTACCAAGATTGCCGTTATTTATATTAATTGAAAAGCAAGCCTAAATGGATATGTCCCGAGTCAATTCTCTCCCACCCAATTGTTTTATGCTCCTCTATTTTTTTTTTTTTTTTTTTTTTTTTAAGAATTAAATAAAAAGGCGTTCAAAAGGGGAACGCATCCCTTATACAAAAGTGGAACCGGGAACTAAGGCCCCAAAGAATCCAAAAAAATGATTAAATCATCGGAAGAGGAACAAGAACTCCTCTTCACATAACTGAAAAGAGAGCGAATAATATAAAGTTTTAGCGTCGCCGTAGACGACTCCTTTCCTTCAAACATTCTACTATTCCTCTCCTTCCAGATGCACCACCAAACGCAATGTGGGACAATTCTCCAGTAATCGTGTACACCACTTCTCACACGACATCCACTCCAAGCATGAATCAAATCCTTAGAAGAACGTGGCATTACCCAACGCATGCCAAACAACCCAAGAATAAGATTACAACAATCGTATGCCACATGACAATGCACGAGAATGTGATCAATTGACTCACCATCTTGCTTACATAGGCAACACCAATTAACAAAACAGTTACCTTCTTCCTCAAATTATCAGTCGTCGGGATCTTACCCCATACAGCAGTCCATACAAAGAATGCCACCCTAGTTGGAGCCATAGAACGCCAAATGGTCTTCCACGGAAAGTCAAGACTAACAAAATTAGATAGACATAAGAACAAAGATCGCACTTCAAAACAGCCATGGGAAGAGGGAATCCATATTAGATCGTCACTACCTCTGCCAACTACCTCCTGCCGATACAACAAATCCAGAAGAACACATACCTCGTCCAACTCCCAATCCTGAAAGGAACGCTTAAAGTGCACATCCCACGTAATCCCACTATTATCAAGCCAATAACAGTCAGCTACGTAGGCGTGTCGATCAATTGCAATACTGTATAATCTGGAAAATGTAGGAGATAATGGCTGGTCACCACACCAAAGATCCTCCCAGAAACGAACGCTTCTGCCATCACGAACTTTGAATCTGATGTGAGAAGATAAGACATCCCATCCCTTCCAAATGGATTTCCGGACCCCAACTCCTCCTATAAGAGGAACCGGACGGGTAGACCAGACACCATTCTCTTCCCCAAACAGACATGAAACTAGCCTTCGCCAAGGGTGATGTCTTTCCCTCCCGTATCTCCACAACCATTTACCCAAGAGAGCTTGATTAAAAGGAACCAATCTTCTAATACCAAGACCACCCAACTTCATGGGCTTGCAAACTTGCTCCCATCTGACAAGGTGATACTTAAACTCTTCGCCCCTTCCGCCCCAAAGGAAATCCCTTTGAATTTTTTCGATCCTATTAGCAACGGAGCATGGAATTTGGAACATAGGAGGCTCGATAAAGTGCTCTTTATAGGAGTAACTTTACCCCCCTTAGACAAGTATTGCTTCTTCCATCTTGCCAATCTCTTCGCATACCTATCAATCTCAGGGTCCCCACTCCCCACTCTCCTGGAGGAAACCCCTAGGGGCAAACCCAAATAAGGAATGGGGAAAGAACTCACCCTACACCCGAGGACTGCAACTAAAGAGGAAATATCCTGAACATCCCCTACCAGGACAAGCACGCTCTTAGCCACGTTGACCTTCAACCCAGAAACCGCCTGAAAACATGCCAGGATGCACCTCAAATATCTAAGTTGAGACACATCAGCATCACAAAAGACCAGGGTGTCGTCCGCAAAAGGTAGATGAGAAATCTCCACCTTATGGACTAGATCTCTTCCCACTTTAAAGCCCTTAATAAGACCAAGATCCTTTGCCCTTCGCATAAGTCTGCTTAAGCCCTCCATAACAATTAGAAAAGGGAAAGACGACAAAGGATCTCCTTGTCTTAAACCTCGAGTACACCCAAAGAAACCAACAAGAGATCCGTTCACAAGAACAAAGAACTTGACAGACGAAAGACATGTCTCAAACCATTTCCTCCATCGACTTCCAAACCCCATTCTTTGTAGCAAATATAGAAGGAAATTCCAATTCATATAATCATACGCTTTCTCAATGTCAAGTTTGCATAGGACTCCAGGGACACCACTTCGCAATCTGGAATCCACACATTCATCTGCAATAAGAACTGAATCTAGAATTTGCCATCCTCTAACAAAAGCGTTCTGGGAATCCGAAATAATCCCAACCATTACTTCCCTCATCCTAAGGGTTAAAACCTTAGCCATGAGTTTGTAAATACAACCCACTAGGCTAATTGGTCTAAAGTCTTTAATGTCAAAAGCGCCTCCCTTCTTAGGGATAAGGGCAATGAATGAGGCATTTAGCGACTTCTCAAAAACGCCAGTAGAATGAAACTCCTGAAATGTACTTATCACCTCGTTTCTCACTACCACCTAACTTTCTATTAGAAACCGCATAGTAAACCCATCAAGCCCCGGAGCTTTGTCCCCATTACAACTTGATAAAGCCTTTAAAACTTCGTCTTTAGTAAAAAGAATCTCAAGCCCATCTCTATCCAACTCAAAAATAGCCTCAAAATGGAGACCATCAAGTTTGGGTCTCCAAGCTAACGGCTCGAAGTAAAGCTTCTGATAAAAAGAAACGATCCCATTGCGCACCTCTTCCTCCCTCCATAGCTCCAAACCTTCCACCCGAATTCGTCCTATGTGATTACTCCTTCTGTGAGCATTAGTGAGTCTATGAAAAAATTTGTGTTACAATCTCCCTCTTTTAGCCAAAGAGCCCGGGATTTTTGTCTCCACGAGATCTCCTCCATACTAGCAATCTCAGCAAAAACTGCCTGACAGGAGACTCTCCTAGAACGTAGTTCCTCCACATCCCCGCCTGCCTCTTCAAGACAATCAATGTCAGAAAATTCGGCAAGGACTCTATTCTTCCTCCATTCAAGATTCCCAAAAACATCCTTATTCCACTTCTTAAGATCAAATTTGAGAGCTCTTAACTTCTTCGTTAACGTGAAGCGGGGCGAACCTGTAACTAATGCTCCCTCCCACCAAGACCGAACTTTCCCTTGGAAGTCCTTCGCCCTCAGCCACATATTCTCAAACCGAAACGAGGATCTTCGAGAACACAAACCCCCGCAATCCAAAACCAAAGGAACATGATCAAAGGTGACCCTTGCTAAAACTGCCTTAACGACATCCGAGAATTTTTCCTCCCACTCCCTAGAAACCAAAAATTGATCCAGCCTTGAAAAAGTGACTGGGTCCCTGCCATTTGACCAGGTATAGGCTGCACCTTCCATTGGTAAATCAATGAGAAAATGCTCATCAATAAAGTCAGAAAACTGATCCATATTTGAAGACCTCTCTAACGGGGATCTAACAGAATTGAAATCCCCACCCAGACACCAAGGAAGAGACCACAATCCTTGAACATAGCAAAGCTCCTCCCAAAAAATAGGTCGATCATTATCAACAACCGGTCCATAGACCCCCAAAAAAAACCATCTGAAATTGTCCTCTTCCATCTGAAACTCACAAGACACGAAGAATCTCCCCATCCACACGTCCATCCTAGACAGCCATCTACTATCCCACATAACTAAAATTCCACCCGAAGTACCTGTAGCATTCAAGGCCTCCCATTCCACAAACGTTTCACCCCACAAACTCCTAACCACCCCATCATAAATGGATGCCAACTCGGTTTCTTGCAAACAAACAACCTAGGCCCCCCACTTCCTTAAAGCTACCTTTACCACCCTCCTCTTGTTCAGGTCGTTGAGACCACGAACATTCCATGTAATGATTTGTAGCTTCATTAATAACCAGATAAGATTATCTCCCCTCGTCCCATCCTTATACTCCTGCTTCTGGTCCTTCCCCTCTCCCTCACCACCCCTCTTTTCCCTTTATAATTGACATAAGAGATAAGATTCTTGACCTCCTGTGCCCCTTTCCAAGACAATAAAGGCCTCATGTTCACGACTTCATTAGTCACTG